TTGATCAGCGCAACTGCGCTCGACTGCACAACCCGACCATACAAACATGGACATAGTGTCCGTGACATCAGCCGTAGGTTTCCGAAGAGCGTTTTGAAGCCTAAAGTAGGCGGAGCCAGCCGTCACCATCTTGGCAGCGCGTCACCGCACGCAGTGTTGCATGTAACGGCGTTACGTAATTTAATTACAAAATAAATGTAACTGTAATCAGTTACAGTTACTAAGAAAAAATGTGTAACTAAATTACAGTTACTTATGAAAATGTTAACGATTACAAAGGGGGTTACATTTGAATATTTACACACGTCCACATTAAAATGTAATTGATTTCTTTCCCAAATTGCACTGACTACTCTAAAATATGAGACATACGGCCGCGATGCGGAAAACACGGAGTGGTTTGTAGAATCCAGTCATAAAAACGGAACTCCTATTACGTGGAATGTCAAGGAATATGCCAAATTTTGGATGAATAAATCAATAATAATAAAAATATATATATTATTATTATTATTATTACTACTACATAATTGCCTGCCGAATGTATTAAAGCAATTATTTCTGAATTCGCCATTCGATATTAAATCTCTAATAAATCATGAATCGGTTAGACGTGACTGGTAATGCTTAGCGCTCCGCCAAACGGTTTCGATCAGAGTAAACAATGCGAGAGAAAGAGAATGGAGTGCACTGTGGAAGTGCACAGGTGGAGCAGAGAGGCAAAACTACTGTTCAGGATTTCAAGTGCAGGTCAGATTCATCTGTAAATATGCTATTGTTGTTTTGTCTTTGTACTTAAGCAGTAGCAGCCCATTGCTAAATAGTCATCACTCAAAATACTGTATATAATAGCCTAAAGGACATCATTATCTATTGTAAAGTTACAATAGTAATTTAGCAGACAAATAATCGTTTTATAATATATAAATATACAGTATATTTTATAATAGATTTAGGGGGAGCTAGGGCAGACAACAACACAACCCTTATGAAAATTAACGATGATTTTACTATAAATCCAAAGACAATGGACCATGGTAACCACAGATTAACAATGTTTTTTGTTACACTATCCATAGTTTAACCATGGAATGTGTGTTAAAATTAAATACAAATGGTAATCCACTTGCCAAAAAAATAAATAAAAATAAAAAATACATGGTTACTGTGCTTTTACTCAAATAAAATCATGGTTAATTTTTGTAAGGGAAAAAAATATTATTGTACTAATTTTGACATGTAGGCAATTTAGAAAGAATAATTTTGTTAAATATTGAGTATTAAAGTCATGTGAGAGACAAAATGAGACTGAAAATTAAAATGGAAATGAAGGTTTAATTATTTTGCATGTCCCCAGCCTAAGGAGTTTTTGTGATGGCCATACAAAAATAGGGTTTGTGTGTGTTTTAGAATATGTTTGGGTGTATGGGATGGCCTGGATGAGTGTGAGATTTCCCAGCCTGAAATATTTTCCCAATCCGCACCTCGTGGAAATTAATGTTGCAGACGCGCGGTTTCATTTAAGCGTGCATGTGTACCGCTGGTGGTCTTTTCAGCCATCTCAATATATACGAGTACATGAACACACAATCATAATCTCTAGAACTGCTTCTAGAGTCACTTCATGAGCATTTTACAATTTCTTTTGAGAAAACTATTGTCATATAAACAGACACCAACGTTTCAAAAAGACACCAATGTTTCAGGAGTTTAGTACAAAGAATAGGACACACGCTTGTTAGATAACCATATTTGGGTTGATGTATATGCTTTTATTTTATTTTTTAAATTAACTGGGTTTTTTTTCCAAAGCATTGTTAGATGCAGTGTTTCCTGTAGTTATGCGAAGATTTGGTAAACTATTCTCAGTATGTAGTAAACTATTTCTTCGATTTGGGGAAGTCGTGGCCTAATGGTTAGAGAGTTGGACTCGTAACCCAAAGGTTGCGGGTTCGAGTCTCGTACCGGCAGGGATTGTAGGTGGGGGGAGTGAATGTACAGCGCTCTCTCCCACCTTCAATACCACGACTGAGGTGCCCTTGAGCAAGGCACCGAACCCCCAACTGCTCCCCTGGCGCCGCAGCATAAATGGCTGCCCACTGCTCCGGGTGTGTGTTCACAGTGTGTGTGTGTGTGTGTTCACTGCTGTGTGTGCGCACTTTGGATGGGATAAATGCAGAGCACTAATTCATGTCACTTTATTATGATTTTAAATCTGCATTGAACTTCAGATCAATCTCAAAGTATAAGGCTGTACTAAAGTCTAATTTTGTAGTGGATGTGTTCAGTTATTATCATCTTAATTCAAGTGATGAAGGATTCTGAAAGTCTGACAGTAATCAGTGTTGAGCACATGCTGTAAGGTTAACCCTGCATGGTGTAAATGTTTGAAAATGATTAACAGTTGAAAACATTCATTAGAAAGTAATTAAAAAGTAATCAAAAGTAATCAGTTACATTACTTTAATAAAGTAATTAAAAAAGTTACAATACTATTACATTTTAAATAGGGTAACTTGTAATCTGTAACCTATTACATTTTCAAAGCAACCTTCCCAACACTGGCCATGACTAAGCACATCTTAAACATAGCTGTTAGCAGGACTTGCTTGACATGTCAAACTGACATTTTTCTACAAAAGCCTTTGTAAAAGAAATTCGGTGTAATTCTGATAAGGTTGTATTGTTTTGATGGGTAAGGCACTTTGAGTGAGTGAGCGAGCGAGTATTCTCTAGTGTTCACGCTGAGGGTGCTATCAGCAAATCATACAGTAGGCTGATGTAGAATCCAGTTCCACCCACAGAGCACAAAAAAGGAGCTGAGCCCGAAAGATTGTTCACCATTTCTGCTATGTGATATTGATCTCAATGAGGGAGTTTTCAGGCAGAAAATTACCGCAAGGGGCTTGGCAGCTTACACACATACACAACGAAACATGAAAAAGACGGGAGAAGGGCGGGGTGAAGAGGAAATGGAAATGAGAGAGAAAAATCAGGAGCTGAATTAAGAAAACTATTAATGACACCGCCATTGACTCCGCTCTGCCCCCTAGTGGTTCACACACATAATCCAAAGGGTGGGGTTGAGTGCTCTCTGCAGAGATTTGAAATTAATTCACTTCAAGCATGTATGTAATACATAAAAGCATGTTGTTTATCTATGTATTTGTAACATTTTCATGCGTTCTTTTATACATATATATATATGTGTGTGTGCAATCATAATCCAGTAGTGAGGATTCAGTCAAATGACTAGAGTGATAATCCAGAAACGCAAAAAGCAATAATTATGAGATCTGTATCCATGAACATGCCAGCATTTGACTAACAGGGGCTCATTACACAGTAGGTTGTGCAGGCTTGACTGCATCTGATGGCCTGATGCATCCCAGAGGGAATACTGATGTGTTCTCCAAAACTCAGCATTACAGAAAACCCTAGACGGAGCAAATGCACTTGCTCTCAGTTGATGAGTTTAATTCCTGGAAGCTAATGGCGCTAATGCTACCGAGCCAAATCAAATCCCAGCTGCGTAGATACACACTTAACAAGTGCATATACCTGCATAGTGTGCATACATGCATTGCATTATCATACTTCTTAATATGAGAGGTTCTTATTTGCATGCTGAGCTCTGTGGGATCATTTGAAATGTTAAAATGATCATATAGGTTAGGTACAGTATATACCCTATTGACAAAAACATCTTAAACAAGCCTAAGGTAGTTAGCTGGTCTCCCAGCCTGGCCAGGCTGGTTTCGTTTGCAGGTTTTTGAGAGGTTTCAGACTAACTTAAATGATATTTCCACCTTAGGTTAGACTTTCAGCCTCAAGTTTCAGTTGCTGGCGTGCCTCTTATAAGGAACAGTTTACCCAAAAATGAGAATCTGCTTACAATTTACTCGCCCTCAGGCCATCTAAATGTAGTTTGTTTCTTCATCAGAACAGTCTTTGAGAAGTTTGGCATTACATCACTTCCCCACCAATGAATCCTCTGCAGTGAAAGGGTGCCGTCAGAATGAGAGTCCAAACAGAGACTTCTTCTGGTGAAAAAGTCCATCCCTTGTTGTCCTTTCATATCAAAATCCACCAACACATTTGTTTAGAACGGTCTTCGACTGTTTTCGCTCGTAAGCTGTGCTTGATCTTTGCATATTTCTCTTCTGATTCAGATTTAACATGGGAAAGCAATACTATGGATAGAGGACTCTTATTGTGAATGGTAAAAAAAATCTTAATGATGAATTTGTCACAATCACGCAGCTTTTCACTTCACAATACATTAATTAATGGACTGGAGTTGTGTGGATTACTTGTGGATTATTGTGATGTTTTTATCAGCTGTTTGGACTCTCATTCTGACGGCACCCATTCACTGCAGAGGATCCATTGGAGAGCAAGTGATGTAACGCTACATTTTCTCCAAACTTGTCTACATCTTGGATGGCCTGAGGGTTCGTACATTTTCAGCACATTTTCATTTTTGGGCAAACTACTCCTTTAAGGGCAGATGGGTGAAGGAATTTAGGGTCATGGCACCAATGTAACTGGTTCTACTAGCACCGCTCTGAGCAGGATTCGAACTGCAGAATTTAGTCAGTCACTCGTATCGGGTTCATGACACCACTTCAACTGTGCGAGTAGGACCAGAACTGTGACCTGGATCCAGTATGGGATTCAAACCAGCATCAACCGGCATGTGAGGTGGGCGCACTAAAAAGGACAAGCTGTTACCATTACTAGTAGCAGGTAGCCAATATTTTAATACTGAACTGTATCCATCTAAATTAATCTCATCTATCCACCATATACTGTACACAAAATGTATGTACTCTACATTCTTTTGAGTTTGAAGACAGTTCACCGGCTTTGCCATTTCATAAAAAGACTTCTTGTCACATACTATTTGAATTAGCATGCAAGCGTTAACATTTAGCTAATTTCAATTCCCTTCCCGAAGTAACAATATAATGTCAGAACTGTGGCTGTGTGTTGCTTACCTGTAGCCTCAATGTAGCAGATACACTTTTCGATGAACAGTGGAATGGGCCGCTCCGGTGTGACAACGTTGGCCAAGGGGACACCGAAGTAGTTACTCTCAAGAGGTTTGGGCAACGATGACTGACGAGCCTTTGCCCGTGTTTTCTGCCAGACAGGAGACAAACACATTATTTGCTGGTACAATTACAATAGCTAAGCTTGAGCCACAATTAAGCACATACAAAAAATATATTAACAGGTTTTGAAAAACCCTAATTATAATGTTAAAATTAAATGTATTTTAACATCTTGTCAATGATGTCAAATGTTAGTGGAATATAGTTAAATGTAAATGATTGAAGTTATTCTTCGCAGGGAGTTTGATTGACATTTTGTCCGACAAACAATCCAGGTAGGAGAGTAGATTAAAGTCGGTAGACTTGAACTTGAAAAATGTTGTGTCTTGACATTTTTCCACGGTTGAAACATGATACCTTCTGATGTCCATTCATGTTTATTTCATGCTATAACTGGTAAAGAGGAAGAGATGATCGGTTCACGTGCCGCTTGAACTGAGGCGGTACAGAGATCTGTCATGACACATTAAAAAGCCACAAAATGGTATTTATTTATTTTACAAAATGACAAAATTTTAAAGTTAAGACTTTGTTTCATACCAAAAATAACCTGCTCTGTCTTGTCTGTCGGCGCATTGTCAGAGTTTCCTCTTTGCTCCGTGATATACTGTATTTTTCACTGTGTTTAACATGATATGTGGCGTGAGCGACATGGCTTGTCGGACGGAGCAACAGTAATGAAGGGGGCAGGTCTTTGAGAAGGGTCAAGTTGACAGTTTATACTGAGGTACATTGGGTTTGACTTTTGAGTTTAGATTTCTGCAGAAAGACACACTGCTCAGACCTCCCTCCCCACCTCCTGCCTTCCCATAATGCTCTGCAGCAGGGCATCACGGCTCATTGGCTAGTGTGTCTGCAGTACTGTCAGACAAGAGAAAAAGCTATGACACATATTAGGCCAGAGTCTGTCTGCTCTATAGCTAGAAGGCGACCCGGCTTCCAGGTACATCTGCAGGTCAAAGCTCTGCTTTTCACACATTCAGGAAACATGCCACATTTACCTCCCTTTTTCTATCTCTCTCTCTCTCTTTCTGTTTCTCCTTACATTTCCCACTGCTCTACTCCTTTTCAGATTTCACTTAAATCCCCACTGGCTCCTCTCAATAGACGTTTACATAATTACCACCCTCCCCTCTCCAAACTCTCGGTAAATAATCTGTGCTCCAATTACAGTTCACAGGGAGTATTACTGGGAATGCAATGTTATGCAAAAAGTAATGCGTTCACCCTGCAACACAGGTCACACAGCAACCCGGACCAAGGCACACAAAGAAAACCAGCTACATCATGTTTATAACTGCTACTCCACCCATTTACAACTTCAGACACGACAGGATACTGATAGTGTTACACTGTGAATGAATCTGATGCTTGGTTATGTTATGCCTCACTAACCTCACAATCTATGCACAAATTATTTGTAAGCGTTGGTAAACTTCACATCGCAACCATTCCCACCATGCAACTATTCACTTGCCAGTTGCTGGTGCAGAGTTAAAGGGACATTAGAAAGGAACTAGGTGACGGTGGATAAATCTCTAATAAATCATGAATCGGTTAGACGTGACTGGTAATGCTTAGCGCTCCGCCAAACGGTTTCGATCAGAGTAAACAATGCGAGAGAAAGAGAATGGAGTGCACTGTGGAAGTGCACAGGTGGAGCAGAGAGGCAAAACTACTGTTCAGGATTTCAAGTGCAGGTCAGATTCATCTGTAAATATGCTATTGTTGTTTTGTCTTTGTACTTAAGCAGTAGCAGCCCATTGCTAAATAGTCATCACTCAAAATACTGTATATAATAGCCTAAAGGACATCATTATCTATTGTAAAGTTACAATAGTAAACAAATAATCAAATAATCGTTTTATAATATATAAATATACAGTATATTTTATAATAGATTTAGGGGGAGCTAGGGCAGACAACCCTTATACCCTTACGAAAATTAACGATGATTTTACTATAAATCCAAAGACAATGGACCATGGTAACCACAGATTAACAATGTTTTTTGTTACACTATCCATAGTTTAACCATGGAATGTGTGTTAAAATTAAATACAAATGGTAATCCACTTGCCAAAAAAATAAATAAAAATAAAAAATACATGGTTACTGTACTTTTACTCAAATAAAATCATGGTTAATTTTTGTAAGGGAAAAAAATATTATTGTACTAATTTTGACATGTAGGCAATTTAGAAAGAATAATTTTGTTAAATATTGAGTATTAAAGTCATGTGAGAGACAAAATGAGACTGAAAATTAAAATGGAAATGAAGGTTTAATTATTTTGCATGTCCCCAGCCTAAGGAGTTTTTGTGATGGCCATACAAAAATAGGGTTTGTGTGTGTTTTAGAATATGTTTGGGGGTATGGGATGGCCTGGATGAGTGTGAGATTTCCCAGCCTGAAATATTTTCCCAATCCGCACCTCGTGGAAATTAATGTTGCAGACGCGCGGTTTCATTTAAGCGTGCATGTGTACCGCTGGTGGTCTTTTCAGCCATCTCAATATATACGAGTACATGAACACACAATCATAATCTCTAGAACTGCTTCTAGAGTCACTTCATGAGCATTTTACAATTTCTTTTGAGAAAACTATTGTCATATAAACAGACACCAACGTTTCAAAAAGACACCAATGTTTCAGGAGTTTAGTACAAAGAATAGGACACACGCTTGTTAGATAACCATATTTGGGTTGATGTATATGCTTTTATTTTATTTTTTAAATTAACTGGGTTTTTTTTCCAAAGCATTGTTAGATGCAGTGTTTCCTGTAGTTATGCGAAGATTTGGTTTCAAAAACATTATCAGTAAACTATTTCTTCGATTTGGGGAAGTCGTGGCCTAATGGTTAGAGAGTTGGACTCGTAACCCAAAGGTTGCGGGTTCGAGTCTCGTACCGGCAGGGATTGTAGGTGGGGGGAGTGAATGTACAGCGCTCTCTCCCACCTTCAATACCACGACTGAGGTGCCCTTGAGCAAGGCACCGAACCCCCAACTGCTCCCCTGGCGCCGCAGCATAAATGGCTGCCCACTGCTCCGGGTGTGTGTTCACAGTGTGTGTGTGTGTGTGTTCACTGCTGTGTGTGCGCACTTTGGATGGGATAAATGCAGAGCACTAATTCATGTCACTTTATTATGATTTTAAATCTGCATTGAACTTCAGATCAATCTCAAAGTATAAGGCTGTACTAAAGTCTAATTTTGTAGTGGATGTGTTCAGTTATTATCATCTTAATTCAAGTGATGAAGGATTCTGAAAGTCTGACAGTAATCAGTGTTGAGCACATGCTGTAAGGTTAACCCTGCATGGTGTAAATGTTTGAAAATGATTAACAGTTGAAAACATTCATTAGAAAGTAATTAAAAAGTAATCAAAAGTAATCAGTTACATTACTTTAATAAAGTAATTAAAAAAGTTACAATACTATTACATTTTAAATAGGGTAACTTGTAATCTGTAACCTATTACATTTTCAAAGCAACCTTCCCAACACTGGCCATGACTAAGCACATCTTAAACATAGCTGTTAGCAGGACTTGCTTGACATGTCAAACTGACATTTTTCTACAAAAGCCTTTGTAAAAGAAATTCGGTGTAATTCTGATAAGGTTGTATTGTTTTGATGGGTAAGGCACTTTGAGTGAGTGAGCGAGCGAGTATTCTCTAGTGTTCACGCTGAGGGTGCTATCAGCAAATCATACAGTAGGCTGATGTAGAATCCAGTTCCACCCACAGAGCACAAAAAAGGAGCTGAGCCCGAAAGATTGTTCACCATTTCTGCTATGTGATATTGATCTCAATGAGGGAGTTTTCAGGCAGAAAATTACCGCAAGGGGCTTGGCAGCTTACACACATACACAACGAAACATGAAAAAGACGGGAGAAGGGCGGGGTGAAGAGGAAATGGAAATGAGAGAGAAAAATCAGGAGCTGAATTAAGAAAACTATTAATGACACCGCCATTGACTCCGCTCTGCCCCCTAGTGGTTCACACACATAATCCAAAGGGTGGGGTTGAGTGCTCTCTGCAGAGATTTGAAATTAATTCACTTCAAGCATGTATGTAATACATAAAAGCATGTTGTTTATCTATGTATTTGTAACATTTTCATGCGTTCTTTTATACATATATATATATGTGTGTGTGCAATCATAATCCAGTAGTGAGGATTCAGTCAAATGACTAGAGTGATAATCCAGAAACGCAAAAAGCAATAATTATGAGATCTGTATCCATGAACATGCCAGCATTTGACTAACAGGGGCTCATTACACAGTAGGTTGTGCAGGCTTGACTGCATCTGATGGCCTGATGCATCCCAGAGGGAATACTGATGTGTTCTCCAAAACTCAGCATTACAGAAAACCCTAGACGGAGCAAATGCACTTGCTCTCAGTTGATGAGTTTAATTCCTGGAAGCTAATGGCGCTAATGCTACCGAGCCAAATCAAATCCCAGCTGCGTAGATACACACTTAACAAGTGCATATACCTGCATAGTGTGCATACATGCATTGCATTATCATACTTCTTAATATGAGAGGTTCTTATTTGCATGCTGAGCTCTGTGGGATCATTTGAAATGTTAAAATTATCATATAGGTTAGGTACAGTATATACCCTATTGACAAAAACATCTTAAACAAGCCTAAGGTAGTTAGCTGGTCTCCCAGCCTGGCCAGGCTGGTTTCGTTTGCAGGTTTTTGAGAGGTTTCAGACTAACTTAAATGATATTTCCACCTTAGGTTAGACTTTCAGCCTCAAGTTTCAGTTGCTGGCGTGCCTCTTATAAGGAACAGTTTACCCAAAAATGAGAATCTGCTTACAATTTACTCGCCCTCAGGCCATCTAAATGTAGTTTGTTTCTTCATCAGAACAGTCTTTGAGAAGTTTGGCATTACATCACTTCCCCACCAATGAATCCTCTGCAGTGAAAGGGTGCCGTCAGAATGAGAGTCCAAACAGAGACTTCTTCTGGTGAAAAAGTCCATCCCTTGTTGTCCTTTCATATCAAAATCCACCAACACATTTGTTTAGAACGGTCTTCGACTGTTTTCGCTCGTAAGCTGTGCTTGATCTTTGCATATTTCTCTTCTGATTCAGATTTAACATGGGAAAGCAATACTATGGATAGAGGACTCTTATTGTGAATGGTAAAAAAAATCTTAATGATGAATTTGTCACAATCACGCAGCTTTTCACTTCACAATACATTAATTAATGGACTGGAGTTGTGTGGATTACTTGTGGATTATTGTGATGTTTTTATCAGCTGTTTGGACTCTCATTCTGACGGCACCCATTCACTGCAGAGGATCCATTGGAGAGCAAGTGATGTAACGCTACATTTTCTCCAAACTTGTCTACATCTTGGATGGCCTGAGGGTTCGTACATTTTCAGCACATTTTCATTTTTGGGCAAACTACTCCTTTAAGGGCAGATAGGTGAAGGAATTTAGGGTCATGGCACCAATGTAACTGGTTCTACTAGCACCGCTCTGAGCAGGATTCGAACTGCAGAATTTAGTCAGTCACTCGTATCGGGTTCATGACACCACTTCAACTGTGCGAGTAGGACCAGAACTGTGACCTGGATCCAGTATGGGATTCAAACCAGCATCAACCGGCATGTGAGGTGGGCGCACTAAAAAGGACAAGCTGTTACCATTACTAGTAGCAGGTAGCCAATATTTTAATACTGAACTGTATCCATCTAAATTAATCTCATCTATCCACCATATACTGTACACAAAATGTATGTACTCTACATTCTTTTGAGTTTGAAGACAGTTCACCGGCTTTGCCATTTCATAAAAAGACTTCTTGTCACATACTATTTGAATTAGCATGCAAGCGTTAACATTTAGCTAATTTCAATTCCCTTCCCGAAGTAACAATATAATGTCAGAACTGTGGCTGTGTGTTGCTTACCTGTAGCCTCAATGTAGCAGATACACTTTTCGATGAACAGTGGAATGGGCCGCTCCGGTGTGACAACGTTGGCCAAGGGGACACCGAAGTAGTTACTCTCAAGAGGTTTGGGCAACGATGACTGACGAGCCTTTGCCCGTGTTTTCTGCCAGACAGGAGACAAACACATTATTTGCTGGTACAATTACAATAGCTAAGCTTGAGCCACAATTAAGCACATACAAAAAATATATTAACAGGTTTTGAAAAACCCTAATTATAATGTTAAAATTAAATGTATTTTAACATCTTGTCAATGATGTCAAATGTTAGTGGAATATAGTTAAATGTAAATGATTGAAGTTATTCTTCGCAGGGAGTTTGATTGACATTTTGTCCGACAAACAATCCAGGTAGGAGAGTAGATTAAAGTCGGTAGACTTGAACTTGAAAAATGTTGTGTCTTGACATTTTTCCACGGTTGAAACATGATACCTTCTGATGTCCATTCATGTTTATTTCATGCTATAACTGGTAAAGAGGAAGAGATGATCGGTTCACGTGCCGCTTGAACTGAGGCGGTACAGAGATCTGTCATGACACATTAAAAAGCCACAAAATGGTATTTATTTATTTTACAAAATGACAAAATTTTAAAGTTAAGACTTTGTTTCATACCAAAAATAACCTGCTCTGTCTTGTCTGTCGGCGCATTGTCAGAGTTTCCTCTTTGCTCCGTGATATACTGTATTTTTCACTGTGTTTAACATGATATGTGGCGTGAGCGACATGGCTTGTCGGACGGAGCAACAGTAATGAAGGGGGCAGGTCTTTGAGAAGGGTCAAGTTGACAGTTTATACTGAGGTACATTGGGTTTGACTTTTGAGTTTAGATTTCTGCAGAAAGACACACTGCTCAGACCTCCCTCCCCACCTCCTGCCTTCCCATAATGCTCTGCAGCAGGGCATCACGGCTCATTGGCTAGTGTGTCTGCAGTACTGTCAGACAAGAGAAAAAGCTATGACACATATTAGGCCAGAGTCTGTCTGCTCTATAGCTAGAAGGCGACCCGGCTTCCAGGTACATCTGCAGGTCAAAGCTCTGCTTTTCACACATTCAGGAAACATGCCACATTTACCTCCCTTTTTCTATCTCTCTCTCTCTCTTTCTGTTTCTCCTTACATTTCCCACTGCTCTACTCCTTTTCAGATTTCACTTAAATCCCCACTGGCTCCTCTCAATAGACGTTTACATAATTACCACCCTCCCCTCTCCAAACTCTCGGTAAATAATCTGTGCTCCAATTACAGTTCACAGGGAGTATTACTGGGAATGCAATGTTATGCAAAAAGTAATGCGTTCACCCTGCAACACAGGTCACACAGCAACCCGGACCAAGGCACACAAAGAAAACCAGCTACATCATGTTTATAACTGCTACTCCACCCATTTACAACTTCAGACACGACAGGATACTGATAGTGTTACACTGTGAATGAATCTGATGCTTGGTTATGTTATGCCTCACTAACCTCACAATCTATGCACAAATTATTTGTAAGCGTTGGTAAACTTCACATCGCAACCATTCCCACCATGCAACTATTCACTTGCCAGTTGCTGGTGCAGAGTTAAAGGGACATTAGAAAGGAACTAGGTGACGGTGGAATTTAAAACATTCCACTTGTTGGGTGAGGAGATTTTAAAAGGCTGAGTGAACATTTCCGGCCTTGCTGTCCAACATACTGAGAAACAGAGAGAGCGCAGATGGGATAGTATACAGAAACAAAAAAGGCCTATTCAAACTCCTTTAACATCAGAAAGGGACAGTCTTTGTTGAACAGAGCTTAAACCAGTACAGACCCCTGGGGCTACTGGACTGCTGTGCTTTTTTTATGGGTTGGCTTTATGGATCAGTCCCATAAGGCAATTGATGCAAGCAAGGTGATTTAACCCAATGACCTCATTCTAACCCAACTGAAGTAATAAAGACACTGCTGTGCAATGAGAAGGACTGGTGGCTCAATTCTTTCATATACCCTTAGGCTGTCACATGCTCTATGAGAACAGCAGTCACTGAAATGTCTGCTCGTGTGAATACAGCGTATTATGGGAGTGACGGCTATAATAGTATTCCCAGCAAAAAATCATTTAGATTTTACATTTGTCAGACACTTTTACCTAAACCAACCCTACTAGGCATTGTTAGAAACATGATTTAGAAGTTTAACTACAGGAACTATTAAGCAAAGAGCAGACAACTTCAAGTGAACAGCACCCAACCACCTTGCAAAAGAGTCAGACTTATATATTAATCTGTTTTGTCTCTCTTAAACACTTCTTTTAAACACGTCTTTTCTCTGTGGATCTACTTTCTGGAAATTAAGTAAAACACAGCCTATCGGGCTACTGCTCCAAAGCTGTAATTTGCTTTTAGAGCATGGGTCAAAGACTTTTCCTAATCCTGGATGAAGCTAAGTGCAAGAAAAGAAACAAGGCATACCACCTTTCCTCTGCATTTGTTAGACAGAAGACACATTTTCTGAAAAAGAATCTGTCAAACTGACTATATCTTACCTGAACAATCGTTTTAAATGGTTGTGAATACGGAAATGCATTTCTCAAGATTTTAACAGTTAAAATATGTGCTCATTTAGTATTTCTTAGTATTTTAGTATTTGTGTGCATTTCAAAATAAATTTCTGCATATTTTTGGGTGGTTTTCCTTTGGGTTTAATTAATAAATGTGACAGATGTTAGATTTACATATTTCATATTTTAAGATTTACATACTGTATATCATTTTACATTAATGTATATTTTTACTATATTAATGCATATTATAATGTATATTATATTTTAATATATTTAATTAAAATATTTAATGTATAAAGATGCACTTAAAGAAGCACTTAAACATGCACACTGGTACAACACTGACAATACACAGATGTGAATATAAATGCATTTAAAACAAATACTCTTACACAAGTGTTGTCTATTATTTAAAAAAACTGCATTGATGGCAAAATTCAGAGTCATATATCAATAAAAAATTAAATAACTTATGGCCACCGTAAAGAAAGTTAGCCTGTATAAATGTGCTCTGAAGCATAATGAATGTATGTAACAAAAGAATACCACAAAATTTACCTTGGTATTTCTTCGCAGACTTCTCAAGATATTCCTCCTCTTTGGGTCCTCGCCTTCTTCATTCAAGGAACTGTCCCCTTTCTGCACACCAAGCTCATCTTCTTTCATCTTGGGAAGACCTCCAAGCTCATCATCACTGCCAATGAAGCTTGTGCGGAAGCTGCTAAACTTTCCAAGGCGTTTGGAGCGATCACGATACAGCCCAGGTTTAACTCCAAGAGCAGAGAGTTTCCGTCTACGTTCTAATGAACTGCTATCTGCCTCACTGTCTGATCCATTTCCTGCACCATTAGAATGACTTTTGTTTGCATTGCGAATAGTAATGATCTTGCCCTGTGTGCTGTCATGTGGTACAGAGTAAATATTTTCCTCCTCTGTGGGACGGTGCTTTGCAACAGCATCCATAGGTTCAGCATAGTCAGATGGATCATAACCACCTTCAGTTGCTGGTGGCCAGGTGACTGATGGTAATGAGCGCCTGTTAGGTCCATGTAGGCCCAGGTCCATGTATGAGGTGATGTTTGAGGATTTGGGAATGTCGAATGTGACATTGGGCTTTGGTCGCACCTGAGGTGGGACTTTGTTGTTAAGCTTGTTTTCAAAAGTGGTGATGTCAGAGATGAGCGAGAAGGCATCACCCTCCATATCAGGGAGCTTGAAACTTCCACCATGGGCCAAAGTGCCATCTTCTCTTAGGGTGGGATAAGGTGGGGAGGGCTCAATGTCATCCTCCGAGTCCAGCAATGTGATGCTTGGGGAGCCACATCGAGGTGAAGAAACATTCTCATTGGTGACATTGTCATACATATATGTTGCCTCTACAATGGTTTTCTTCTCCACTACCTCCTTAAAGAATGGCTGGAAGTGGTCTATCCGATGCAAGCCTCCCACCACCCCACCAGGTCCACAGATTACAGAGCTGAAACGGGCATCAATTTCATGGGCCAGTTCCTCCCCTTGGGCAAGCTGCTCTCGGACTGCCTCAGAGTCTGCAAGTTCCGATTGAGTCTCTGCAACAGCAAGCAACTGCACTGGAATAATGTCTTGGACTTCACAAAGGAAGGCACAAAGGGTTTCCATGGAAGCCTTCCGTTTGGCTGAGTACACTGCTATGTAACCATGCACTAATCTGCTTTTACGTAAGGAAAAAGATGAGTGGTAAGATAGAACAGCAAGATCAATGCTTTGCCTTTTGCCACCAATAGATAAATCCAAGAAAACTGATGTTCCACTGGATAGACTGGAAGAGGGCCGACAGTGCTGGGGCAGCAAGAATGGTGAAAGAAGCTGGTCAACATCATATGTATCTCCACACATCAGACACATTACGATTCGCAAGTCACCCTCTGTGCTCTGCTGGGAGTCTCTGAAACTTGCAAGTGCAGGTAGCAAAGGTGGGGAGCTACTGCCAAGGCTAACTGAGGGTCTTCGTGTGTCTAATAGACCTTTGAGTATCTGGTTTAAATGTTTTTCATTTATATTGCGACCATAGCCCACACCTGGAGAAGCAGGCTCTAAATAACTGCACTGAAATTTGCCAGCCACTTGTTGACCTTGTTGGATCAGGCTTTGTGCCGTTTCACCTCCAATGTCAGAAATTGAACCAACACCTCTTTTGGTGACCAACAGAAGAGACAAGGGAAGCTGAACTAGATTAGTATCCCTTCGACCTATGGTTGATTCTCGTAATTTCTCAATACTATCAAAAACATAGTATAAGGATTCCTTTGAGTTGTAGAGGCAGAGGCAACCATGTGGGGCAAAAGTGGGGGTATGAAAGGAGTTCACTGGAAGGCGTACATTTCCCTCTATAGGTCGAAGAGCCAGTTCATAAGTCCTTCCATCTAGCACGTACCGTTCATCATTGGTGCACAGTGCTCTGACCTCATTAGCTAACTCTCTTGCAAGACCATCTTTGCCAAGGATCACAAGATTAATTCTGTCTACCTTTCCCTCACCAAATTGTGATTTTGAGCTCCCATCAAAGGAATATCGAGTGGGAAAACGAAGGGCTAAGAGTTGCTCAATTTTGCCATCCACACAATGAGGACTGCTTGGACAGGTTTCCTTAGTAGGGTGGTAGACAAAATGGATATGCTTGAGCACTAGGGCATCTCTCTCAGCTTGAAGCTTTTGCAGGACCTTGAACCTCTGCTCCTCTCCAAGAACCTCTTGGATGGCACCCATTTTTTCTTTACTGGGCTTAGCATCAACTTCAAGCTCATAGAACAACTCTGAGTACTCCAGTAAAAGTTCTTGGAAGTCCTCTTTGGCTTGGTCAATAATAATCTTCTGGTATTTGTTATAGATATCAAGGTACTCAGACTCCTCTAGCCACTGATAAAACTCCTCATTCATTATGAAGCTACGAGCTTCCTCCCAGGGTTTGCCAGGTGTAACAAATGGCGAAGATGCAAGTTTCTCTTTGAATTCCCATCGCATTTCTGCCCGCTTTCGCTCATTGCGCAGGTGTTCTAAGTGAAACTCATAGATTTTCTCCGCTGCAGGGGTTTCCAAAAGGTCCTGTGGAATACGTTCATCCTCCATGTTGTCAATGTGTGGTGTAGTTTCCCAAGGTGTGTCATCCAGCACAACAAACCAGTGGGAGAATTCCCGCTTAGTCTCGAGAACTTTCTGTACTCCTGACCAGCTCAGGTGATCAATCTCATCCAGGCCTGGAGCCAAGGAATTGAGAGCCTGTGGGAGTGTGCTGAGATAGATTTTACGCCGCTTTTCTATATGCTGTTGCTTGAGCCTGTGCACATGTTGCTGGAATAGTTTCTTGGCCTTGGAAGTACCCTCAAGGAAGACATACTCTTTGTATTCAGGGGATGTCTGCATTCTGCGGTTGATGTTGGGCCATGTTTCATTATGGTTCTTCACAATGCGACTTACCAGCCACTCATAGCGGTCCTTAGCGGATGCTATCTGCTGACTCTGCTGCTTGAGGGCTTCAAAGTATGGAATGATCTTGGGCTTCCCTCTACTCTTATCTATCAACTGCACCAAGGTAAGAAAGGCAAGGTCAACATTAACGTTAGAGCGTGCTGAGGTTTCAACAACCTGCAGATTCTTCTTGGCCAAGGCAAAGGTGTGAGAGTCTTTAATGTACCGCTCAACTCCTTCATCACACTTGGTCAACACAAGTACAACTGGCTTCTTGGTCTTAGCTAGCTGATTATAGAGATTGGTGACAAACTTCATCTGGTCATCAAAATTTCGGTTCATTCCCCTGCTCACATCTACACAGAGTAAACATCCATCCACTAAAAGCTTGCCTTCAGGCATTTGCTTCTGCTCAAAGTCTTGCTCTAGTCCTAGTTGATCTGTGCAGAAATACATAAGCTTCTCAGCAGAGGCAAGTTTGGTGGAAGCTGCCCGCTTGATATAGGGCTGTAAGGCAGTACTTCGATGAGGCTGAAACGTTTGGTCATCAATAAACTCTGTCTGTTCCACCACATGCATTCGGCACTCAGCACCCTCTTCCAACATTCGTACTGCCTCACCCCAAAACAGGAAGTGATCATTGTTTACCACTCGACCACCAAAGTCACTTGTGCTTAAAACAGATGTGTGGTCCAAATAAAAATCATCAGCACTGGGTCGAACAAAGCGATTACAAAGGCAGGACTTGCCTACCCCACATTGCCCCTTTTCCTTTTCAGTCCCGGACAAACCTACCACAACAAGGTTGTAGGTTGGTGCCCGGGCATCTTGTTTTTTTGCCATCATCATAGTATGACAGCACTCATTTTGCCATTCCCAGAAGCTCTAGTTTGAAAGCTGCTGGGCTGATGTTCCATCCAAATGCTTTCAGGCTTGACAAATAATTTATTTCTAAAGATCCTGAAAGTTACTTTAGGTATTTTTTTTCCATGCAGGGCCAGTATGTCCAATGCCTTTAATGATCAAATTTTAAATCTGCAGTCATTTGGCTATTTAGGATTTTGGCAGAGGTATAGAAGGTGAAGAAGGGAATGGGTTTGAGGGTGGGGGAGAGGAGTCCTTGTGGACTTAGGCAGGTGTGCTGCAGGTGTTATTATTCCAGCCCATCTCCTCTCTTCAGGGGCACTCTGACACAGAAATACTCTAGGTTTCAGGTTCACCCAACCTGGATCTGACCCTGCAAGAAATAAAACAGACATTACAATTAGAAAATTAACTACAAAAAGATACAAATAACAATTTTAAATAAATTATCCATCACATTTTCATCTACTAAACATCTAGGACTGCTTATGGACTACAAATAATTTTGTTCAAATATGACTATAAAGTTATACGTTTTCACATCAAGATGAATGACTTTATATTGGCTGTTAAAATTTATTGCAGTACAGTAAGGGGTATGTAAGTGCAAAGTCACAAGGAATTCGATTATTTTGGCACCACCACCAGTCCCTGTTTCATTTCATCAGTTGCCCACGGTTGTTTATGTGTAACCTAAAGGTATCAATACCAAGGTATAAGAGGCTGGTATAATACCAAAGACAATTTTTTTATTGATTCAACCCTACAAGGCATCACATACTAATACTCAAACTAGGGCTGCACGATAAATCGCATGCGATATTTAACGCGCATCTTATCAGTAAAGCCAGTTCTGTAATCAGCGGTAAATCTCCATCATGTGCGTGCTTTCACATTGAGCAGCATTAACTACACAGAGCCGTTGTTCACTGACGAGCTGCGCAAAATAATCACGTGAATATGAACGTGGTTTTGCGCAGCTCGTCAGTGAACAACGGCTCTGTGTAGTTAATGCTGCTCAATGTGAAAGCACGCACGTGATGGAGATTTACCGCTGATTACAGAACTGGCTTTACTGATAAGATGCGCGTTAAATATCGCATGCGATTTATCGTGCAGCCCTAACCCAAACAGAGATAAACATATACACACATAGATGAAAGCTGTGATAAGTGCTTCAGAGATACAGTTTTAATTAGGCAAACAGGGAAACCCAAAATGGCCCATAATAGGAAGCAATGCACATTGGCTGCTTTCCACAGTCTCAAAAATCATTTTCAAAATAGTGAAATAGCCTCCCAAATGCAGAGACAAACCAAAAAAATATGTAGAATGAATGAATGAAGAGTATCCTTACCCTTTTGATATCTATTCTGCTATTTGTTTAAGAAACGCATTACAATCACTATTTTTTTTTATAGGCTATTTGTTGTCTTTTATATATATAGGCACTTAAGTTGGGACAAACCCAGATTGTCATAGTGGGAGTCATCTAAACAGAAAGAATGATTTGGGCCTATGCCAAGGAGTCAAGGAAAGGCACTACACAAACTACAGACCTCTGTCTCCCAGACCAACAGCAGCACCTTGGAGGCAAGACCAGGTAAATGTGCTGACAACAGCTCTCAAGGCACTACATCTAGCGATCACAAGTGACACATGATTGCAGTTGCAGATGTCACTGTCTGGGACAAATGTAATGATAGTGCTGTGGCGATTTTGCTTTGTGAAATAAATTCTATGTTCAGCCAACATTCTTGAAATCACAAAACATCTAAGAGTTTTAACATTTCATTTGAATTAATGACACTTAATATCTGAGTGGAAAAAGGTATCAAATTTTAAGCCTTGGCTTGCCGGTCAATGTTGGATCAGTGATAAGACCAGTGGAATCATGCATGTATAACTCTCTCAAAAACAGCTTTTTCTACAGTATGATTAGCCAGCTATCACTGGACACTTGCAATATAGCAAACACAAAAGTGAGGCATGCTGGCTTACCAAGAGAAAAAGCCTGAAATGTCAAGAATAAATTTGTCATTCTACTCCCCCCCACTATAGTTAAAGTGGAGAGCCACTGAGCAATGCAATGCTGTGGGTGTGGCAGTGTTATGTTTGTTTAACCATTGACCAGCTCCCCTAACATAACTCGGAAACATCATATCCATTTTATGTTAAATATTACACTTGCACTGCTCAAGAACCTCTCAAACATGAAACATGAAATGTAACCTGGAAAACATGGCAACTTAACCCAAAGAATTCACAATGTTTTATTATAATAATGTTCTCATTAGAATGTTATATACATGACATTCCCAATCATAGTTATTAATGTTGTGCACTGCTGTTTGGGCTGCGTGTGCTGAGCTAAAGATGATCACCGGTAAACTGAAGCGCTCTTTTTAACTTAACCAAACGCATTCTATATGAGATAAATCAGATATACATCAAATAAACACAATATTACAATGTACAATTGCACAAAAGGCTGCAAACGAACAGCGCGCATCTGAAGTGTCTCTGAAGGAAATAATGCATTATTTATCGGCTTTAAGATATCGGCCAAATTTTCTTATCAGGCCGATACCGATAACAGAAAAAATGAGCCGATATGGGCCGATACCGATATGGTGGCCGATATATCGTGCATCCCTAATATTTTCATTCCATTCATCACTTCAAATGAACTATTTTTTTTCTCGTGTTGCCTGTTAGAATCATGAGGACATCTTTAAGCCAATCAGATGTGGTTATCATTTAGTAAGCTATGAGGGAGTAATTATATCATTCATACTGATAGAGGGCAGGTAATTATGTAATTATGCTCAAGAACTGGTTGCTGTAAGTGCCACCCATGGTAATGCTTTCCATATTAAATTCCAAGATGTTACAATGAGGAAGAAAATATGTGAGAATGCATTTTGTGGCTTGAAAATAAATTTTAGCAGAGAAACACTTGAGAGCCCTCAAGGAAAAATAAATTAACAAATAACCATGAGAGCTGCCTGGCTACAGATCAGCAATGACCCACGTGTCACGCACATACACACACAACCAGGTGGTGACTCCAGCTTCTGGGACCAAAAGAAAAAAAATCAGTGTGTCTATTTTGTTGGGTCACCAACATGACAATTGACGCCATGCTAGCTGGTTCATGACCAATTATGAAAGTCATTAGTCTAATTAAGGAAGTGCTCATTATTCTTTAGCTCTTCATGAAACTCACACGTTGCCATCAGAACAAGAGCCACATCTGCTTGATCTGTCCCAGCTGTGTAATTCCCTGTATTGCTTTGTCTTTCCATGTTCAACATCCTATTAGTGCTATGAACGAAATTAAACTTACAACAGCTAAAGATGAGCGCCAATCAGCCTGTGCTTTTTCCCCTGATGAGCTAATGCAGCAACAAACAAATGATAGATATCAAAAACATGCAAACAGATGGCTAGATACAAAATCAACTAATAAAAATTCAAGCACTTCAAGCAGATGTTCAAGCACCAAATAACTGTTCGTGTCTTTCTGGAATTCTAAACACTTGTTGTCCAACAACTGCTCTGAGTTTTAAATTTGACAATAACCTTAATTTATAATATAAATTAAACCATTTTCTGGTAAACAAAGTGAAAATGTTCACATGCAAGTTGCATTTGTCCATCAAGGTAATAAAACCGTGATTACACTAGTGGCTACTTGCATGTTTAGGTGAGACAAGGACCTATTCTCAAATGCCAACTTAAAACCTTGCAATACTCATTTGTCTGCTATAAAGTCTGTATTTGCATGAATTCAAAAAAAGTGTGCATTGAGGGTGTATAGTAGATGATGGGGCCTTCTGAAACAAAAAAAATGTTAAATGAGACAACTTACAATCTTGCACGTCTGCAAAATAATTGGGACCACTACTAAGGTATCATCAAACACATGGCAAAAGCAGATGTTCCAGCATCCACCAATCAGAGGTGAGATACAATCACACCCATGACCATGTTTGGATAAGACATGATACAGTCCATCACGCCAAAGCTAAGCTAGCATGTAGCCTGCAGACTTGAGGACTTCATCCTACCCTTCGTGTCAGGACACGGTCACTAATAGATGAGGATATGCCTGGACTTGCCCTCATACATGTCCTACTTGCCTACATAAGAGGAAAAGTGAAAGAGGGCGCAGGGGGTCTGGCTGGTGGGTGTAAGAAAGACAATCTGAGAGATGGACGCCAGCTAAACCAAAAACAGCAAGTAGTGGCCGAAAGGGTGTGAAGTTTGCACTTGCTTGTAACAGCGGGTTGCCGTTAACTCAGTGAGAGGGGGCAATCATAAGGGAACAGAGCATTCCAAAGCTTCATTAAAGTGCAGTTTAGTCTTTTAAGGGACTGTCAAGGATTAAACTCCACAAGCCTTTTGAGCTTTAGGCTACTCTTAAAAATAGGTCAAATTCCATCGGCCTTGGAAGTTGAAACTGACCTGCACATAGGCTAAGAATACTGTTAAAATGGCAGAAGCCAAGCCGATCAGACGGAAGAAATCCATACACTAAAGTCTGAGTGATGTGCAGTGTTTGTTAAGCTTTGCAGCACTTTTTTTAAAGGTTATGGCTGTATCAGATAAGGACTCGCTGTTTAAAGAGAAGACATTTGTATAGAATGCCTTTTTGGTTTTTGAGTGCTACCAAGGCCCCTGACCTGACCTTTGATATGCAAGCAAGACTAGGAACTTAGGAAGACAATGAAAATACAGATGTGTTGGATGAAACCAGAAACATCTCTCAAGCTACACACTGAATTTCTCACCAAGAGTTAAAAAAGTCGACATGTTTACTTTTCTAAGACATCATATACAAGATGATCTGAAAAATGCCCATTGTTGGCTGACTGTTTAAGTTCCAACAGCCTCCAGTAATGAACAACTCCATAACCAACACAATCAAACTAGAGAACAATACAGCACCCTCTGAATGGGTCTTAAGACAGTAAAATGCAGCAGACAAAAGCAATTTCAAAGACTACAATTAATACCAACAGAAATGAAAACTACAATTTGTTTCCTGTCAAACTACTGTGAAGAAAACTGTCTAAACAGATATTCACACACATAATCAGGCCGACAAGCTGTAAACATCCACTTACACACACTCTCGCAGATCAATCGGTCTTTTATATTCTCTTCAAAAGAAGCAAAGATTGAAAACGTCGCTGAACATCAGTAAATAACAGATGTGTATTGTTTGGGTACTAAAGACATTGTTATTGTTGAGAGAGTATTATCATGTGACAATAATGTGCTGGTGCACAAATTATTCCTAATGATGTGCCACAGCACATTGTTGGCTGACTGTTTAAGTTCCAACAGCCTCCAGTAATGAACAAC